CCAAAAGTTTGGTCTCTCAGCAGGACGTTAAACTTACTATGAACTTTTCAAGGCCCCGGACTTGAATCAGAGAAATTCCAATTACGACTGGACAGCTCTACACTCAAAATTTTGTATGGAGTTTGGTCGGATCTGTGAATAAGATATCTACTTCGAAGTTTGACACGTGCAATAATGATTTACTTGATGAAAAAAATCCAAGATCTACTCAATACTAATGTAAAGAAATTTTATTTAAAAACAATATTTTCATTAAAAAAATCAAATTGGAGTTTAGCAGTTAGTTGAAACCTCTTCTTTGCGTTGTATATTAAGCTTATGGGGTTTCTAGATCATTTGTCTGTGAACATATTCTGTCGTCCATTTTTTGGACGTAAAATGCGTTACACTTAATTTCTCAGTATCAGGACCTTCTTCCAGTTTGGTAAAATAGGAAGAAAAACATGTAAAAGTACTTAAACGTAGTTAGTGAAATCATTGTGTCTTGGTGAGTATAAAAACTCTAAAAATCAAAAAGACGATGAATTTTCGCGTCGGTGATATCCCCCTCCGCCTGGGAACTATTGATCCTATTCGCTATTGAGTAATATAAATGCTGTTTTGAATAAGTTCTCAAATTTTGTATGGAGTTTGGTCGGATCTGTGAATAAGATATCTACTTCGAAGTTTAACACACTAGTAATAATGATTTACTTGATGAAAAAAGTCAAAGATTTTACTCAGTAGCAATGTAAAGAAATTCTATAAAAAATAGAAGTTTCATAAAAATCAAAATGGAGTTGCAACATCCAGTAGTTAGTAGAAACCTCTTCTTTGCGTTGGTTTCTAGATCATTTAAAGATAATACAGGGAAGATACGTTAGCTTTCCAGTGATGTGTGGAATTTAAAAAAATTAAAAATCAGAACAAAACTGTGCGTTATATTGATTGCTAGTCTGAACATATTCTGTTGTCCAATTTTGACGTTCTATGTGTTACACTTAATTTATCAGTATTTGGGACGTTCATAGAATTCGCATAGAAATCCAATGATGTAGTTCTAAGCAGATCTTGAGATAACAGGAAGGTAGATGTTTAACTTGGTTGTTTTGGTTTATATCGCAACCCAAAGAGGTGTGTATCAAATAGTTACTTTCCTGTTGTCTCAAAATCTGCTTGGAACTATACTTGGGATTAAGGAATGGGAGTATTTACACAATTTGAGAAATTATTGGCATAATGAAACCTATTTAAAACAGCATTTATATTATTCAAAAGCGAATAGGATCAATGATTCCCAGTCCTCTGAAGTTTGAAAATGAAAATACCTGTGTGTTAATCCATAGATAAGAATTGAAAATGAGAAATATTTTTGAGGATCATATGGTGCAATCTCATAGTCAATAAAATGGTTTAAAGTGTATTGATGATTTTTTGGATGAAAAACATTAGCGAACTGAATGACAAAAACTCCCCCGATTCATTCTACAAACAACTCTCTCTCCTTTCTGTAATATTAAAAATGTTGTAGCAAAACAAAAACATGGACGTATTTTTGGCCCACCCTGTATTATTGATATCCCATGCGTTCGACTTAAAGGCAGAATCAGATCTATAGGGGGTGACAAAATTACAAGCAACTTTTATAATTGACCTACCAATCTATTATATACAATATCAAATACAAAATCTCCCAAAAGATTCACAATATGTTATAAAGTGGTGAAGTTATTAATGATTCAAAGTGCAAAAATGGGTGGAAAATGTTTAAATTCTCCCAAATAATAAGAATGGTAACCATTCTTATAGAAAAATAATACATTATTGTAAAAATCTTTAGTTTTCCTTGAATAAAGTATGCACTTTTGTGATTTTTAGAAAATAGACATGACAAGGAATGACATGAGCAAAAAGTATTCTAAAATTGAGACAATTTTTTGTTTAGCCTGCTGGCTATATCTGATTCTCTCTTTAATTTCAAACATCTTGAAGTTTGGATTTTATTCTGGTATGATTAAAGAATAATGAAAGAAAGAAAATGAAGTGCTGATTATGAAGCCACCTATTTGATATTCACAAATATAAATATACGTTACCGTAATGCCGTCAATCTGGGAAAATATTTTGTCATCTGTCATTAAAATTAAATTCAATGCGTTCTTAGACCCCGAAAGATTTGGTTCAAGGAGAAACACTGTAATTGGGATTTTTAAGTTGACGGTATCAAAATTAGTAGTAAAATCCCTGCGACCTGAAAGTTATATCTTAATTTGGTGCAGCTCGAAGGGATTTTACTACCACCATCCGACCTCCCTGCCTCATGTTGATGGGCTGACCCAATAAGTTTGTCTAGTACAATACAGGCACTTCCACATGCGTTTTCGGAGGCGGCTCACAATTACCCACGGATATAGCAATTCGCGAACTCTTCCCACCCTTCTTAATCGGTTTTTATGCAATATAATGGAAATTCCTCCGTAAATAGTTATGGACAGGGTCTGAGGTGCCTATAAAGTTACGGAAAAAGAAGGCTATGACGTCATGAATATCGTAAACTTACGGAAATCCCACAAAATCCCGTAAATTTACGATTTTTCGAGAAATGCAATCTCTCCGTAAGTTTGAGAAAGAACAATAGACTTACGGATCCGTAATCTTACGGAGTTTGGAGAAATAGACCCCAGGAGAGCCCAAAATTGAGGATTTTTGAGATCCTTCATCCCAGCTCATATTTCATCTAATTGGGGTCATAAAACCTGTGTAACTGTGCCTGTTGTAATATCTGCTATTAAATACAATGCCTATTATGTAATGTATTGACAATAAGTTGATGATTACATGATAACAATCACACTTATTGACAATTATAACTCTTCCCATCTGATGTGCATAGATCACAGAATATGCCTCATAATATCAGAGAATGTTTGAAACAGAAAGATGCCATGAGTATCAGAATGCATTGTCACGGCTATAACTAGTACATGTATTGTTAAACAGTTCAACTTTGCCATGTTCAAAACAAAATTGTTTGTCACACAAGATCTTGTCATAAAAGGTCTGGATCTTGTCATGCGATTTAACATCGCAATAATCATAAAGGACATTTCCATTGGTTACATTTGCCTCGTCATCAGTCAAATACATGTAAGTCAGACATAATCGTTCTCATGTAATGATTGTACAGATTGACATTATCATTGTCATGCTCTGTATTGACATATAGCGTTAGATACACTCCCCTTCATAAGATTTCAGGCATTTCAGTTTTCTCCATTTATTTTAGTTCATTTATGCTAAAAATGGCCTTGTCATACAGTTTTCACGATCATGACAGACATTACCATACAGTGTAGCATTTTCATCATTTTATCGGCTATTAATATAACTACTTATTAATAACAATGGCGAATTAAAGTAATTACAGATGATTCCACCACGAATTAAAGTAATTAAAGATGATTCCACGATAATTGTTCGGAAATTGAACCAAGAGCTCAAATACGAGTACCATTCAATAAATGTCAAAATGTGAAATAGCTATTTCTATGCATATGAATTTTAATGCTTGATTTTAACGGGGATTTCAAACCTGCAAGCAACTTCTATTAAAAATCAGGTTACATTCACACTTGAAGTTGGTAAAGAAAATCAATATTATCAGCTTAATTTATAAAGGAGCACGTGGGTTATCGCAAACAATTTCAGAAGGATATATCTTGGATTATGACTATTTTCTGACAATGAAGACAAGTTTATCTTTTAGATCAATTCATTATCTCAAAGAAAATTATGCACAGTAATAATAAATTCAAACAAACTTGGAGATATTTAACTAGCAATTAACCCATCAACACACTTTTTGACCCCATTTTGAAGATGTTGACCCCATTTTAACCAAAAATGCAATCATTTTTTACAATGTTTAATGCATTTCTATCCTTTATTTTGATGTATCAAATAGTTCTTAAAAGAAAAACTTAATTGCATTAAGATAAGTGTTCCCCATGTTATTTCTCCATTGAAAAATCTCATGCTATCCATTAGTTTTAGTTCATTTTGGTCATCCAAATTCAGTATCTTTAAAGTCCCTGGAGCAATCAACTTTTCCTTTTAGGAAATCGAACATGTCTCAAAGCACATTGTAATTATGCATTCATCAATATAATTATAGGTTGCATTTTTGGTGAAAATTAGGTCAACATTTTTGAAAAAGTATGTTGATTGGTCCATTGCCCCTTCAATATCACTTAGGTCTGATTAACTAAATTATCATTATATATAATTTTCTTGAAGATAATGAATGGATCTAAAAGATACACCCATGTTCATGATCAGAAAACATTCATAATTCAAGTTAGAATCGTTTGAAATTGTTTGCGATAACCTACATGCTCCTTTACAGTTTTGCCAACTATTCAATTTTGATTGGCTAATAAGTGGGCCTTTACATTTGAAATATAGTATATTTTATTAACTGATTTTAAATGATCTATAACATCCAAAACAATAAGCAAACTAAAATTCTAATTGCAGAATGTGAATGTGAACTATTGAAGGGTACAAAAAAAACAAACAGTACAAATATAATATAATAATAAATATAAAGGGTTATTGACTATATTTATAGTATAAATATAAATTTATATAAATTTCAAATACATAATGGGGGTAGGGTAGTGTGAATATTTGGAAATATACCTTTTCTCAAAAATATGAAATTTGACCAGCTTGGTAAAACATCAAAGATTATGTTCCACAAGTTAGCGTCCTGTACACTGTGTCTCTCTTAGGCATGTGTTTCCTACTTTATCAATATCAAGTTCTCTGTAACGCAAAAATTAACAAGAATGAAACTAAACTAGTTCGTGCGAACTAAGCCATATGTATTAGCCAACATCTTTAAATTCCAGCTTCAGTAACCATAGGAACCTTTGTATTAGTATGTCTAAAACAACCCTCGTATATTTCATGATGCTAAGCGTTAAAATTCTAAATCGCAACCGACCAATTCACTTGTCACTCGACACCATTAACTGCTTACCACGCCAGTTCAACGTTTCGAGTACAAAATTGAAGAAGTTGATAATAAACACCGGTTTTTGCAAAATGCAGGTCTCTGTTGCATTTCTGTTGATTTTCTCTTCTTTCGTATCTCAATCAAGTTTTGCCAGGAGGTCTACACGTTGCCATAAAGACATATCAAGCTTAGACAACAGAATTAAAGACGAGCTCTTCAAAATGAAGAATGAGATATTGCAGGTTATAACAGAGGAGTTGAAAACAGCAAAAGAGGACTCTTGGAAGGAGATCAAGGAATTATCTGAAAGGGTTTCGGCGATGAGGGAAGATATTTTGTCAAAAATCGCAAACGTAGAAATACTCATGAACGCAACAGGTAATTTTAAAATATTGAAATCATGATTCCATAACAAAGTACAATAAAGGATGAAAACTTGCAAAATGTAATCATTTGTGTTACTTTACTAGGACTTACGGTAGTAAGGGGTCTACAGGTGGTATTTTAGCCAGCCATGTTCACCTATGGACATAATACTAACTACTCACTGACGTCAAAATATTAAACCCTTATATATGTATATAAAACACATATCCCAGGTACATCTTGGTAGTAAATAAAACGTTGTTGTTTAAAACGACGTCTTGTGTTTTGCTTCTGCTTTAATAGTGACAGATTCGGACAACGATACATTTTCCTTTGCTCATAATGAAACCAACGCCACAATCACACAGCCAAAAATGGAAGAACCGGTTCCCACAGGTAAGACACCAAAATACCGCTTCTCCTTTACCAAAATATGATAGAACACGTGCCAAACAAAAGACCAGACGCCGTTACAAAACACAGAATGCTAAATGAATAAGCGCTTAACAAGTCCTAAAGGACACAATTTGCGATAGACCTTTCCCAAACATGTTTTCACAAACAACCTGAAAAGCCAGGCGGATGAAGTAAAGATAACACATTTCTTACATTCGTTTGTGTTCTATTCATAGATGTCCCTACTGATGAATATCCAATGGTGTTATTTACGAATAAAGACTACACTGGGAAGTCAGTACCGTGGCGGGCACATCACTGGGTCATGATTGCTGACATTTCGAATCCGACAGTATCTATCTACAATTCGTTCAAGGTATGTCCATTTACTAAACTCTGTCTTCGCCTGTCCTGTCATGAGTATACTTATAAGCACTGCGCAAAAAATGCATTAGCAATATGTCGACTCAAGAGAAGATATGACTTGAAAGTCAACTATAATAGCTATTTTTGTTATCCTATCGATTTTGATTATCGCCCTTTTGATTATAGCTTTTAATTTTACTAAACGTGAATGTAACATAAAAGAATCTCGCTTTACCAGAATTTGTGCAAAGCAACTTAAAGAGGTTGTTTGTTCAATTCAAATCGCTTAATGCATAACTATAAAACTTGTAGATTATCGATGGAAGGAGTATTAAGATGAGGGGATGCTGTACAGACGATGGGTCGTACAAGTACCACACCTTTAAGAATGTCAAAGACACGTCGTTTATCGATAATATGTTCTATGTAACACCGTTTTCAATGTGGGATAACGGATGGGGAGATTTAAAAAAGGATTTTGCAATAAGAGTGTCCACATTCCAACCGCGGGCATCTTCGTGTAATGTGACTTGTCGTTATGGTGGATGTACAGAAGAAGGGCTTTGCCAGTGTTACGATGGTTACGGCGGGGTTGATTGCTCTATTGGTAATGTCGCTTTACATTATTCACCTCATCAATACACTTTTTGCATGATTTTATTTTAGAGAATCCTGAAAATTTGAAAAACCTGAATGCTTTGGACTGGTGTAGATTAGAGCTCATTAAAGCTTTCAAATATACGTGTAATCTCTAAAGTTTGCTTTAAAAGATCTTTTAAACAAATAATTCTTCCAAAAACAGTTTTTGAAATAACGAAATTATTTTGTTTATAGTTGAGAAAAACAACATCGTCCGTGTGAATGAAAGCCTGCCAACCTACAGAGAACCGTTAGTGCTATTTTCAAACAAATTCTATACAGGTACAGTATGTTTTTACTTCAAAATGGGGCAATTTTTAAATAATTTGATTAACTTTTGTTGCTACACTCGTATATAAGCATTGATCAATAAATAAATGTTTTAAATTATCTATTTTGATTGACTGGTATGTAGTTAGATATATAACTTAATTATTGTTTTTCAAGGTTCCACGTTAAGGGTGGGGACAAAAGATAACATGACGCACTCTTTTGGGAGCAACGGGAGTGGATTAGCGTACAAGTCGCTCAGAGTGTTTGGGCAGGCTCATATACGTTGGCAAATTAAAGGTATGATTTATTAAAAATCACGCAGATGTGCCGAAATGCGTATTCTGTGCTGTAATCATTAGAGAATTCGCACGTATTCAAAAACGTATTCATTAAAATTTAGATGCAAGAGTTTATGTTGTAAGAACTAATTTGTCTTTCGGATTTCCTCTTAGTTGTGACATATTAATTACAGGTTTTAACGTTTTTGAATATGCCATCGTGAGTTATGGATCGTTAGTATTATGAATGGTTTCGTACACACATAGCTCGAATGCTTTCTGTTTTTAATATAATCAGTTGTAAAATAAATATTTTATTAAATTGTGGTTCTGCTTTTATTTATATTCATATTTCGTACATTTTCATTGCACTGAAGATGAAAAATTTGGAAACTATCATTTTCGATCCAAATTTACCGCTTATCCAGTTACAATAAAATTAATGTTTAATCAAGCCGGCGACTACTCTTTGACAAAGGAAAGTATTAAATCTGAGATAGGACATGTGATATATCATATTAGCGCAAATTTTATTTTTATTTTTTAAATTTTCAGACAATAAAGCTGGTAAATCCATCTCACGATTGGATTTTATGTCTGGTGACATTCCGGACATTAATATGTATATGAAGGATAATGGACACTACAAAACTGACAACAATGTAGTGTTGAATCAACGTGACAAATCGCCAAATCAAATGACTTTCACAGTCTCAGTTGAGGGATGGAATTGCGCCTCGTGTAATCCGAATGGCGGATTCTGCTACAATTTTGGCGCTACTTGTGCTGGGTATAATGGGAAGGGTTGTATCAGTAAAAGGTTTCGTGGAGCAAACTGTGAACCGAAATGAAATATAACGTATTTAAAATAAACACGTCTGTACATGTAGTTGATTTGAAAACACAGAATAAAATTTAAAGCTTGTGAATCAGTATGCTGTTATTATCCCATCGAACGAAGTTCGGAGGGATATAGGGAATGCCTCCGTCCGTCCGTAAGTACGTACGTACGCTCGGGCAATAACTCAAGTACCGTTGGCCCGATTTTGTTCATATTTTAAAATGCTCATTTAAAAATTGCGGCCATTTTAGTGCCGATTTTACAGTAATTTAGGTGCAATATGTAAAACTAAAAGTAATATGTTTTAAATGTAAAAAAAGTTATATAGGACATTAATAAAGCTAGAAATGTAGATATTAAAGAAGCACATGGCAACCATCTTGAAAAATGGCTGCCTTTACTCGTTATTTTACGATTTTTACTGTCACTTGAAAAGTAGTGGAGCGATTTTGTTCATATTTGGTATGTGAATAGTGAATACTATAAGCATGGCACCCTGTCTAATGACACTTTTGGTAGAAGGCAGCCATTTTGAAAAATGGTCATCATTTTAACGTATTTTATTATAACTCAAAAGTAGTGGGGCGATTTTGTTCATATTTGGTATGTGAATACTATGCACACTGTCCAATGACACTTTTGGTAGAAGGTGGCCATTTTAAAAAATGGCTGCCATTTTTGCTTTATACTTTGTAAAAATGCCAGCCATGGCTGTTCGATAGGATTTGCTACGCTTTGGCGTTGCTGTTGTATAGTTTAAGTCAATTCACTTTAATCCAGAATACATATTCCATTATGGCAGATGTGTTACGCATGCGCAATATGCTTCGAAGCTTATCATGTTGTTAAAGAGGTCCATTTGTTTTCTTCATATTCCATCTCGACCTAAATTATTACACAATCCATGATGTTTGAGGTGTTAAATATTGACAAAAGTGCTCCAAATCTTACCATGTTGTAACATAGGTATATTTGTGGAAATAATTTGTTGTCTTCATATTCCATCTGACTTAAATACAGAATCCATGATGTTTGAGGCGCTGCACATGCACAAAATGCTTTAGAACAAACTCTTATTCCGCCTCGGCTAGGTACATGTTCGTTAGTATTTAAGGTGTTTTCTGCATAAAGAACCCTGTTCTATAAAATGCACCATTATTTAAATGATTTGATTTCTTCCAATTTCACCTCGACTCAAATAGGCATACCAACTACCCTAATCACGGTGACCCCTGGAAGAAATTCTCTTTGGCTTCGAGTAGGTGATCCTCCTTTGTAGCAAATATGGAAATTGCAGTAAGCAATGTGCCGTTCTCCGTAGCTTGCGCTGCAAGGATGATTACTACAGCATCGTTGTTCTTGTTGAGGCGGTTTGCTCGAGATATCAACTCATCGACGGTGATTGTAAAATTGTTTGATTCAGTATACATCGATACCGGGAATCCCTTTTCTGCCATTCCATCAGTCATCGACAAGTGGGGATTTGATCCCGAGACCCTTGGATTTATATCGATCAGGAATAACTCTCCGTTACGTGTTTCCATCACGTCGAGGCAAACGTAGCCGAAGTAACCCTTCTCGTGAAGCTTTTTGATTGCAGGCTGCAGGAATTTCACCATACGTAGATTTACCTTGTCCTCTTCTAGATTCCTATAAAATATACCCCCATTCCAAATTATCTCTGCAGCGCATCTACCAAAAGTCTGATTACTGAAACCACCAAGGCTGACAGAGCCATCTTTATGGATGTATAACTGAACTCCTCGATCAGCTATTACATCGGTCAAAAGTTCTTGATATATCAGTCCTTCTTTCCAACCGTATTTTACAACCCATTCTTCATATTCCTGAATTTCCTGGTCAGTTTTTGCAATTTTCACACCACATCGTGTTTGAGAAACTGGCATTTTAATCACACATGGGGCCTTCGCTTCTGACTTATTCATATCAACAGGCTGGTTGATTTTCACTTTTGGGATGAAAGCCTTAGAGTAAATCTCGTAAAATGTATCAGGATTCATCGTGTGCTTCTGAGCTGGGATTTGTTCACAAGGAAGTAAAGTAAACAACGATCCATCATCAATCTTAGCAAGATTGTCATCATTGAAAAGCCTGATATCCGTACATTCTTCATAATAGGGCATCCACCTCTTCCAGTGTGCCTTCAGAGAATCCAGATTCCTCGGAATCTCAAACACAATGACAGGTACTCCAGAGCCGATCGTTGCAATAGTCTTCATTGCCTTGACAGCAGCCGTATCAAATGAATAAAACGGGAACTCCATCGTTTGGTACTTCTTCAGATTTTTCAAAGGATATTTTGTATGATTCTGGGAGCTGGGATACAGTGGAAGAATGACAGGATTTTTGATATCCTGTTTAAGAAAATCGCCAAGTCTACATCTGGTTAGTCTGCCATCAGCGATTGTTGGCATATCACAGAAATTGTCACCTTTCACCATCCGAGGTCCAGCGCTTTGCTCGAGGCATCTGAAAGCAAATTGAAATGAGAAAAATGTATTTACTTGTTGTTGATGAACGTTCGCGTTTATATAAATGTTTCTACATTTACTCCATTTTATGGGGAGCATATGACATTTCAATTGCCAAAACGTTTGAATAAACATGGTCGGTTAGTGGGACTACTGAATGTGATCCCCCATTCTGCTGTCAACTGAAAACTATCAAGGAAAATACCGAAGCTGACAGTCAGTTCAATATCAGTACGCATACAGCATCTCGGTCCAATTAAATCAGCAGGAGATCCAAGACGTCATTTCCATTGTTCTTTCGGCAAAATCGCGTAGTAATCTACGGTGATCAGTCCATTTAAATTTCACGCTTTTGGACGTCACGGTGTATACATGTATTTCCAATCGATCACATCTCAGTAAATATTCATCATTATAGGATCAATTTGATAGTTAATGAAAGCTTATTACAAGGGCATTACGTATGTGAATTAATTATTTCGATCCGATAAAATACCACCAAGCTACAGATGTTAACGTTTGGACATATTTTTCATTAAAAATGCAGAAATGTGTATCGTTTTCGCGCGTTAAATAGGCTATTAAAGCTAGTAGGGTTGAGTTATGGCCTCTTGATTTGAGGTGTCGTATTTTTCTACGAACTCGTGTACCGAGAAATCGGGACTATATCACGCCACGGCGGAGATAGAAATGTCGCTAACCGAAGCACAATTTGCCCTTTGGATCTCCTGCTGAAATCCGTCCCATTATATCGATCTGTACAATTACCCACTAGCTAAGTTTTTTTAAAGCTTAACAATTAGGGTTTTATTTTTAACTGCCCGTCGCGCTAGCAAAATCACGCTGAATATGGGACGGAGGGGGGGGGGGGGGGAGCTGGCAATTTCTGCTAGGAAATTCAACAAATCTGGAAGATTTATTTTTTCAAAAAAAAGTTTACTATTGAATTGCTAAATGGATAGGCGCACGGTATGGTAGAATATGTTAGGTTTTCTGGGATTTTTTCTGAAACGATACGCATCTAAGGTATGAGATCTATTAAAAAAGGCGCAAGGCCATCAACAGGCACAAATCAACGTTTTTGCTATAAATCAAGCAACAATGGTCTGGACGACCTGTAATAAATACTTGTAAGTGATGTTATCATAACTAAATTAATGTCATTGCTGAATTTATAAAATAAGTTTCCATATGTGAAATAAAAAATAATCGAAAATAATGAATTTGGGACGGAGGGGGGAGAGGGGACGGAGGGGGGGGAGCAATATGTATATAAGACATGATTAGAGATGTTTCGCGACTTTAAGTCCTTTTACTCCAAATGTCCCCATTTCTCAGTCTCCAGGGGTATACGAGGGGTGATCAATAAGTAATGGACGCTTTTTTACACAGATGCTTTTTATAGACCAATCCCTTCGATTTTCTTACCAGTGATACATCATTCAATTATCTATCAACTCTGAAGATTTGAAGACAATATATATTACATGTTGATATATCTTTATTTCCGTGAAGGAGGTACAGGTACCCCGGGACCGACATTTACGTCACATATTCTGAAGCTATTTTAGATTGTTTAACATGCAATGCAGTTGAATGCAGGCTGAACAAAACAAACCATTATGGTCATGAATTACCCCATTTTGTTATGCCATAGTAATGATATAATAATTTTGAATATTTTATCATCACTATGTGGTATTTATGCCACATTCATCCCACAGGGCCCTCTACATAGTTTCCATCAAGTGCTACATGTACACAATTTCTGATCCTCTTAACTCAAGATTGTGAGACAAGGCTGAATCCATTCTCTGACATGGTAGCAAGATGCAGTTGCACGGGTTGTTTTATTTCATCAATGTCAATAAACCTGCGTCCTTCCTCTATAGAAATAAGTAGTATGGAAATAAACAAGTCACATATGAGCAGATCTGGATAATATGGTGCATTGGCCAAGGGCTCAATTTTGAGGTCCAGGGTTATTGTTTTCTGAACATTTTGAGATCTGTGGGCAGGTGCATTGTCCATATGGAGTAGGGTGTTCCCTTCTCTCACCACCCCTTTCTTCCACTGAATGCTTTCTCAAATTGACCTGCAAACCCCGACCATACAACACTCTGACATTACAATACTTTCTGTTTATGTGTTGCCAGTCAGCCAAAATTTTTAAACAACACAACACTTGTTGCATATAAAACGTTCAAATCTAACTGAAATTTACCAAACTGGCTAAAATCTGAATATGTGACGTAAATGTCGGTCCCGGGGTACCTGTACCTCCTTCACGGAAATAAGGATATATCAATATGTATTATGTATCTGGTCTTCAAATCTTCAGAATTGATAGATAATTGAATGATGTATCACTGGTAGGAAAATCAAAGGGATTGGTCTATAAAAAGTATCTGTGTAAAAAAGCGTCCATTACTTATTGATCACCCCTCGTATCATCCAGTTTCTTACTAAATTAATGAGTTCATTTTTCAAATACAAGAATTCGTGTGAAGTTGTTTCACTTTATAGAATTATTACTCCCCCCTCCCCCCCCTCCATCCCATTTTAATTATGTTCGATTATTTTTTATTTTACGTATGGAAACTTTTTTTTATAAATTCAGCAATGACATTAATTTAGTTATGATAACATCACTTACAAGTATTTATTACATGTCGTGTAGTCCATTGTCAAAAACTTTGACTTTTGCACGTTGGTTGCGTTGCGCCTTTTTTAATAGATCTTATATCTTAAAAGAGTATCGGTTGAAAAATAATCCTAGAATACCTAACATATTGTATCATACCGTGCGCTTATTCAATTTGCAATTCAATCGTAAACTCTGTCTTAAAAAATAATTTTACCAGATTTGTTGAATTTTCTAGCGGAAATTGCCTGCTCCCCCCTCCGTCCCATTTTCACGATCACCGGGCGTGAAAATAACAATGGAAGGGGAAAACTCATAAGCAGGGATTTAATCCGTTTATAAACCAATAATATGTTAGCATATTGCAAAATCAAACCCAGGATACATAACGTGTTGTTAAACTTGTTAAATTCATTACACGAGAAGGAAATATATATTTCTTTACATATTTATTTATTGACAAAAGTTTCAAAGCATGACACATTAGTCTATGTACAAACTCACGATGCCCATGTCAAGCAGCGTGCCTACTAGGCACGCAGTTTGAAACTCTGACAAACTGCGCGCATATTTCAAAATGGAAGACGGGGAGGACACGACTCCCAAAAAGAGCCAAAATACTAAAAATACAAGGTTAGTCTCGTTCTAAAGATACTACCATTCTGTGAAGATGAACTTAATTTACTCATAGCACTCAATGTTGTTCCCGATGTAAACCTAGTTATCTCAATATAAGGGTCTTAAGTAACTTCTGTGTTCAAAATTTACAGTGTAAAGTTATATCTATGTCTTTTTATCGTCATTTGCCGTTTATTCAGCCATTGTGTCTGTGTATGCTAGAATATATAGGATCACTCCATCTGATTAAAGCAGCATAGTGTGTTTTTCAAAACGATAATACGCCATAAACGTGATTTAAACATTTTTCTTGTCAAACTGCGCGCCTATAATCACATGTATTTCCCAAACTGCGTGCCTAATCCAAGCTTGTTTTGTATAATGAGAAAACGTAAGCGCCATATGTAAGGCACATATGGGTCTAATAGTAGAACCCCATAATTGAAACACTATGAGAGTCCATCCACCAAGATGGTGATCTGAAAATAAAGTTTTTTTCGTTCCCAACTTAATTGTCACTTCTATTATACATTTTGACTTTCAATATGAAAATCTCATAAAATCTGACGATAAAGCAAAATTTCCAAAGCTATATGAAAAACACCTACACGTGCCTCTGTAGAAATTCCAATGATAATATGTAGTTTTAATAGTGTATGCGCACCGTTTGTAATTTCTGGCTAAAATAGGCGCGCAGTTTGTGGTTTATTTCTTTTTAATATCCTGATTATCTGTTTTATCTCGAAATATTTTGAATTATACATGGTAAATACGTAAGGAATTAAATATAAAACGAGTCTAAAGTATTTGTCATTTATGTTTAAAGTGCTAGATCGATTTACGTATAAATTCCCGTTAAATCAGTGACGAAAATGCCATTAATCTGCTTATGCTTTAAAACTTAGATTCATTTGCACATAGTTTTTGCTAGTATTTGCAAGATTCGTATATTCGCCACAGAATGAACGAATTGAACAAGAAAACAATGCAGGATAAATGTATTTAAATTACGTTTCAGAATACAGACTCCAACTTAAATGTTGCAATGTTGTTAGGCACGCAGTTTGTGATCGAAACAAACTGCGCGCCTAAGTAGGCGCGCAGCTTGACATGGGCACCGTGAAACTAAGAAACTAATCTAACTAAAAACTAACTATAAACTATGAGGATACATGGGTAAATTAAATTAACTCTAACATACCTGCCAACCTAAGACCAAAATTTTGCGGTAGATTTTTTTAAAATTGCTGTATTTTTGCGGTAGATTTTTTCAAAATACGGTAGTTTTTGCGGTATTTTTCAACAAAATTGCGGTAGTTTTTGCGGTAGATTTTAGAAAAAACTGTAGTTTTTGCGGTAGATTTAAAAAAAACTGTAGTTTTTGCGGTAGATTTATAAAATAAACGGTAGTTTTTGCGGTAGATTTTAAAACAATACTGTAGTTTCAGAGGTTTGGGGTAGATTTTTGAAAAAAATGTAATTTTACGGTAGAAATTTGAAAAAAGCGGTAGTTTTGCGAAAGATTCTGAAAAAATGCGGTAGTTTTACGGTAGATTTTGAAAAAATGCGGTAGTTTTCACGGTAGTTTTTTGAAAAAGCGGTAGTTTTGCGAAAGATTCTGAAAAGATGCGGTAGTTTTACGGTAGATTTTGAAAAAATGCGGTAGTTTTCACGGTAGTTTTTTGAAAAAGCGGTAGTTTTGCGGAAGATTCTGAAATGTATTTACTTGTTGTTGATGAACGTTCGCGTTTATATAAATGTTTCTACATTTACTCCGTTTTATGGGGAGCATATGACATTTCAATTTCCAAAACGTTTGAATAAACATGGTCGGTTAGTGGGACTACTGAATGTGATCCCCCATTCTGCTTTCAACTGAAAACTATCAAGGAAAATACCGAAGCTGCCAGTTAGTTCAATATCGGTACGCATACAGCATCTTGGTCCAATTAAATCCGTCCCATTATATCGATCTGTACAATTACCCATTAGTTAAGTTTTTTTAAAGCGCTCTAAAGCTTAACAATAAGGGTTTTATTTTTAACTGCCCGTCGCGCTAGCAAAATAACAATGGAAGGGGAAAACTCATAAGCAGAACACAATTCACCCGCTCCGCGGGCAGTTCAAAAACGGTGCCTAGATATATTATATTCTAAGTCAGTCAGTCAGTCGTCTGTCCATTTGCCAATCAAAACATTTTTTCAATTAATAACGCGATAACAACCATCTTTACTTACCGGTTGTTGAACTCAGGGATTTAATCCGTTTATAAACCAATAATATGTTAGCATATTGCAAAATCAAACCCAGGATACATAACGTGTTGTTAAAACTTGTTAAATTCATTACACGAGAAGGAAATATATTTCCTACATATTTATTTATTGACAAAAGTTTCAAAGCATGACACATTAGTCTATGTACAAACTAAGAAACTAATCTAACTAAAAACTAACTATAAACTTTGAGAATACATGGGTAAATTTAATTAATTCTAAAATAAAACTACATATATGAAGGACTTCAATTGTCTATTGTAAGTCCTTGGTTAAAGTCTAGATGTACATGGGATTGGCAGTATAGCACTCTAATTGTTGGTTTGCACGAGCATTTTAAAGGAATGGTAAATGTTTTTTCCAATATGCCTATTTATTTTCAATAAAGGTGACTTTCCAGATCAAGCTTTTTGGCATAAATACACACCAGGTAATATGATTCGCCGCAATATTATGAAACAGCTGTACATTTTCATAAATATATAAAACAACACGATCAAGTCTCAACATTTATATCAGTAGGTAAATAAACACTCCCCCTCATAGGACTGACAGGCCAGGTCCCACATTCGATAATATATTATCAATGCCTGTTTTGTTTGGCGATTTATAAATCATTACATTTTTCATTAATTTTACAACTTTTTACGGTTGCCAAACTTATGGTTGGGAATGTACGTAAACGGATGTGTTATTAGAGAATTTTCGATATAAGTTGTTACAAAAACGTATACGTTTACTTATAGTTTAAAGGGTCTTGTCGAACTAAAATCAATTCAAATTGATTTTCATAATCTGTACCAAGTGGGGTCAAGCTCCATCATCAACTAGGGAATGCGCATGCAATGCTCTTTGCTAGTGTCAATTACGAACACTATAAACCAAACGCTAGTTGACGGGTGCTTGTAGTGTACGATAAACAAGACCCTTTAACGTGAATCACTACACGAACGAGTCGATCGTTTCAAAGTTCTCATGAAAGTATAAGGTCAGTTTGTAATTTTTTTCGTATAAAAGGGCATTTACAACCAGGTTATAAACTTATAGAGTCGGATCTCCGCATAATCGTATATGTGTGGACCTACTGACCATGATGGCTTAGCCGAGATTTTACATTTTGGCATGCCAACCTAAGGTCCTTGAGACGGCATGGGTGCACTAATGTCCTATTGGAAGAGTTTATTTTCATTCAAAAGGGTAGTTTTGGATTCTTTACATTTTATGAAGCAGTACATATGAATACACACTATGCAGATTATACATAGAGTCATTTCTAAATTCTTGTTTATGAATGTGACTGTTGTCCGAAACCAAGCTACAGATACCAATGTAATATGACTGAATTGTTTCAGATAAAGTAGTTTAATTTCTTTATTTCAATCACTTTTCTTCAAAGAAAGTGCAGTTTTTGCTACTTTGCTCTATACTAGTAACTAATGGATAAACTGGATATTTGCCTATTGACATTGGGTATAGCAATATTCTCAAATTTTAGGATCTGGTATGAAAATGCCCCCCCCCCCCCCCATATGACTTTCGACTTTATCGAGGCTTCAGACAATTTGAATTGTCTTGGTCTTATATATGGATATTTGGTATGGCATTGGTCCTCTACTTGGACATTTGGAATGGCTTTTGGGCGTTATTTTGGTTGGTATGGGAACACATTGAAAGGATGGGTATCGATATGGTGACCTTTTTGAAGACACGTTTCTCTTAAATCAGTCATCAAACAATTCTAAAAAATTTACACATTGTCAACTAATGGCCATCTTTTGATTGGTAACAATATATAAACCTTTCTCTATATTGTTTTAGAAAACACATCAGACACTTCTTTTATTCTTGGTATCATACATTCGGAATGAAATGAACCATCTATCCGAATCTCATTGAAACAAAATGACATGAAAACAACGTGTATAGGTCTCTCACTATTGTAATTGTACGAAGGTAAGTTTGGTTGATTTAAAAAAGTATCTTGTTAATGAAATAAAACGTTAATCTTAATTTTTATCTATTTTGGGGTTTTTGTTTTAAATTTTTGAATACTTTTTTTTAAATCAAGCATAACTATAATATTGAGAGGTCTAAGAAAATGTTGTGTATGCAATTTTGTTCAAATAATGTTCGGAAAGATATTTTGTTTAATTCTGAAGAATTGGTAAAACGGAACAAAAAACAAATGCACTAAAAGACAATAAATGTTAAACAGTTATATGAAATATATGTAAATTATTTTCGCATTAAATTGTTGTCAATGAGTCAACATTTCATAAAGGGCCGTGCTTTTACCGAATGTTTTCAATAATTGGTTTAAGGGAAAAGCATTGTTGAACTCAGTTCACCATATCGATACCAATCTTTTGACAGATTGGTATGGGAACATATCGATATCTGAGGCTCAGCCTAGGACCCCCACGAAATTTTGGGTAAAGCAACGGAAGAACGGTCATGAAATTGGCATTTTTATCTATTTATGTATTTATCTCTGGACCATCATGAATTGTTTAATCTCTTTTTATACAACAGATAAAGTCATATTTAATACTAGTTTTGATTTTAAATCTTGAATACAATTGTGTGTTACTTTAACTACCGCTAACTGCAATGGATTTTAGGCGTGTCTTCTTATGTTTTAATAATACTGAGTAGTTTCTGAGCTGTAAAAGAATAATGTTGTAAAATTAAAGCCCCTTTAAAAGCTTTTTACTACTGCTGGTATAATTTATATAAACTAATATATTATTTAAACTTACGGATTGTTTACGTTTCTTGATTCCATGTTTCTGTTGTCAATTTTCGAGGTTTCTACAAATGAACTGAACGGGCGTATTGAAATCGTAATTCACTTAACTGAAACGATCCAATGATTCTTAAAGGGTCTTGTATATTGAAAATCCACTTCACTTCCAGTAATGCTCTGTGTACATGGATTTTCAGCATTTTTTCGTTTTTGGTTTAAAACTGTGTGCGAACGGAATGAACGTAGCTACAACGTTCTACGGTCTGTTTCCAAACTTCATGGACTTTCCCGGAATGTTGAATAATCTTTATATAATTTGGTGTAACTGTCGTTGTGTTACATTTCACGTACTCTGTGGTATAACACGGTGTATAACCCAAACGCTCCTACATGCACGACGGAGCGTTTCATTACTGAAATTAAACAAAGAAACGCTCCGGAGTAGGAAAACTGGCTGGCGGGAATGATGAGCCGTCTGACGATTTCCCCAATAATGGGAATAAGAGGTATGAGTTACATATTTTGAGTATACCATTCGATGGGTGTGATATTCATGTTGTACGTGGCTGGCTGTTGAAGTTTGAAGCAATTAGGAAGAGCTATACGAAGCAGTATAGTTATCAAAATTCAAAAACGTATTTGTCATTCTACCGGTCAAAACCCCTTTTGTCGATACATGTGATTAGTTGAGCCAAGATTAGAGCACCAACGTATATTTTAGTCAAATTCCAATGCTTCAAGGCACCATACATTATCGTAATACTGATTTGATGACCGAAAATCCAGTCTTAAAAATGATGACATTCTCATATTCAAGAAATGCTCCGATCTGATTAACACAGTGAACTGGAAACGCTCCGGTAGTCTAGATCAGTTTAGGAAATATATAGCTTGCCTTTCCTTTTCAGGAAGAGAAAGAAAAGATCCATTATACCCCTTGGCATCAATAGAAGAAAGATTAATTCACATATAAATTTTCGTTTTTTCTATAGTATTATGATTTAGCACATATGTAGGCATGACATCATCTAATGTATAGGCTTAAATCAGCTAGTTGCACGTTTAGCACCACCAGGTTCAGATGTTTCAATTTGCCTAACAAGTACAACACGTTTTTAAGAGATATATTCGATTCGGGACTCTACTCTAATAATCTGAAAATGATATCAAAACAAAATGGTAAGAGCGTTTCTAAAATTGTGTTCTAAATCGACGGAGCGTTTCGAGGAAAACAAGCGATTTCTCGAAAACAAGTAATGGATTTGGACTGGGATTTTAGGAAATGAGAATATACGAGTTTGTGATCTACTACTTTAACAGAAAGATTAACGTTTTCATAGAAATACTAGTTTAATTCGTAATTTGTGGTCAAAACGTCATCTTCAGATTCGTTCGATCTACACTACGGAGCTTTGATCAAGAAAATAACAGTTTACCACCAGAAGTTGAATAAATAAGATCTTTGCTCACGGTATTGTTCATCGAATGGTACATAATATTTCACCATAACATATGATATGTAAGAGAAACGAGAGAAACAATACTTACGGTCATAGTGGAATCTTCATTAGCCGCCATTTTATTTCGCCCCGGAGCGTTTCCGCGTAAATGTAACGCTCCGTCGTGCATGTAGGAGCGTTTGGGTTATACACCGTGTATAAACCCAAGCAAATGCAAGGTACGGATATCGATGCAATAAATACAATCTATTTTAGATGCAACAAAACTTCGTTGTCTATGGAACTATAACTTTAATGTAGTCCATAATACACTCATATAGGTGTCAAAAATGTGTATACATGTTATATTGCTATAATGAAATAAAAAAGTTGTATGGGACATGTACATTTTCATATTATTAAACACCAAGTCCAAACACTTTTACCCGGTCACAAGTTCTGTTGGAGACCGTCCAGAATATTTACAGGCGTCATTACCATTGAATGTTGGCATACATGGACATATTTTCCTCGCACGAGGCCCTTTAAAAGAAATATTTAAATATGTTCGAACCAGTTCCAACCAGAAGTTGTCATAATATTGGCATGACCCAAAAAGCCCTTTAATAGGATATAAAAGCAAGCAACTTCCAACTGAAATTGCGAGTGTTGTCCTGTTTGTTTATTTGTACCATCGTGGAAATGGGCTAAAATGGAAAATAATTCACGACTACTCTGTTCTATCGCGAGGAAGGTTTCATTTATATTTCATGATGCATTAAACTTCTTAATACGAACGTACACGATTATACATTTCTCATCTTATTCGTCTATCCGACCGTCTAGTCGTTTGTGCGTTCGCTCGTTTGTTCATTGTTTCATTCGTGAATCTGACCTTTTATTCGCGAATGCAACTAACGCCTGTCTGCTACCGAATTAACATTTTTGTGACCAACTCTTTTAAATATGAATGGAATAGTAGCAGAGACCATTCATATTTAAATGAGTTTCCAACGAAATAGTATGTTAATCTGGTAGCCGACAGGCGTTGGTTGCAATCGCGAACACAACCTAAGATTGGGCTTATCTCCCCATTTAGCAGCATGTAACAATCCTGACTTATGTTCTGTTTACCAATTCGACTAAGCGGCATATCATAATCGAGATTTCATCCCTTTCATTGACATAAAATGTCATGTGATCACTAATCACATTTCGTCGACTGACGGATTGTTCGTAATTATAACTTCAAAATGACTAGTTAATTAATAAAAATTAAAAGGTTAATCCGGTAGCAAATGAAGTAAAAATAAAGTAACCCAGCTTGTATTCGCGAATGCAAATAGCGGCTACCGGCTCCCGGATTAACCTATTAATTTGCATAGATACACTGTAAATCCGTCAGTTTGAAGTTGCAATATCGAACAACCCGTTTGTCGACTAACAGTAATCATGTGACTTTTTATGCCATTGTCACATGATCAAACACTGTTAAAATGTGTTTTAATATCAAATTTAATCGTAGCGACCCTGGGTTGGCTAGCCCTTGCAAATACCAACCATGCATCTGGTGTCGCTACTTCCCCTCTGCTTGAGAGCGCGAATAGTCCCGCTGCAGGGTCAAAGAAATAGTTACTTTAGCTCTATCCTTAGCTTCTGTGTTCAGAACAAATGTTTTGTAAGAGTATCTTAGGATTGCGAATTTTGCCAGGTTATTTTATTTAAAGGCTGATCTCTCGCGAGAGACAGCGAGACGAGAGTTGGCGCCATAATTTTCCTCGCGATGCAATTTTGATTTCAGTTGTCCTATTTTGAGTTATTTTCGACACTTTGTCAGCACTAATCGATTGTTATGGGCTAGCCAAAGGGAAGGGGAGACCAGCGTGGCTGCGGAAGTGAGGTTATATTTACTAATTGTAACTCAACTGCTGTGCTGAGCATACTTGACATATCTTGAATTATTTCGAATTTATTTTTATTTTGTCTTTGATTCCTGAGAGTCAACTGAGTCGATCCACTGTGATTGATTTTCTTTGATAGAATAATGTAATTGTTGGTTGGTAAATTTGGTCTGATTTTGATATGCTCAGCGCGCAGGTGAGATTCTACACAGCGCCACCTTTTGACACTCGCTTTGAATGTTGAAATTTATGTTGTTTTAATTGTAAGCGCTCAGATAGCCGCCATCTTACTTAAAGGGTTCCGATTAGCATCCCGTATAAAAACAATATGGCGGCTCCAGGCGAATCAACTGGATCAGTCCATTTTTAAGAAATAAGGGGAGTTTGGTAAAATCCAGTTTATTGAAATTGTCTTTGAGATAAAGTAATCCGTTTATAATGATTTTGAAAACGTTATCCAAAGAGTGATTGCTTTCAAATAATACATGGTCAACAGCCAATATTAGAAACCGGTTTGTCTTGCTTTGTTTCATTTTTAGGATATTTCATATGCCAAGCTGTGTGCTATTACGTTATGGGGAAATTTATATGCCAATTTTTCCTTATTATACACAAATAGAAGATCCTGAAACTTCACCCATAAATGTGGAATTGATTTGTCAAAATAAAAATCACCCTTTTATAAATGTGTGACGATCTATAATATACTTATGCTATATAACAGTTAGAGGTGTTGACACAACGACTTCGAACCTGTGAACCCTTGAGTATTATTCCGGGATCGGGCCTTTTATACTAAACGGTGAGCAACACCAGAAACGAGCGTTCGATTTGATAAACGATATGCGTCACCCTTTAAGTCATTTGTAATCTTTCTGCCATGTAATTTCCTGTGATTTTCATTTGATAGATAAAACTGATGTAAAACCAAATCTAATTACTATTTATTTACAATTAAACTTTTTTGATTTGTCGTGTTGATTGTTTGTAGTCATTGATTGATGGTTGAGATGAAACAGCAGTGAAGTACTCCTATAAAAAAGCCTGCCATATTCTGATCACTTCATCATTCTGTTCCAAATTATTCTTGTTCAATTAGTGTTTTCAACTTTTGTGTCTATTCAAAGATGGCAGCACCTTACATATAGTCCAGTAATCAATCTTAACATTCAGCTCAAAATCGATTCACTACGTTGCCATGGCCGTTCAGCTTACCACGCTACCATTTGTTTGCTCGTTCGGTCCTGTTTGTTTGTTTGCTTGTTTGTACGGGTTGTTTTGTTGTATATTGGTTTATTGATTGATTGATTACGTGGCAGTTTCGGGATTAAGACCGGAGCTGTTACATTTAGCTCAGCTCCTTGGCACGGTGCCCATGTCAATCTGCACGCTTACGAGGCACGCAGTTTGAAACAAATACCCCAGTCACATTTGTCGTACGGAGGCCGTACGTCGACCGCATGCAGATCAATTAAATCAGTGTATTTCTGCGGCGAGCGTAGGAAAACTACGCTCGCCTTGCGGCCTCCGTACGGCGTATTCTGTTTTTTACAGGCCGCAGGGTCGCCGTAGAAATCGTAACTCGTAGTTATAATATTTGTTCATTTCTGAGGTCCCCGTAGAAATCAACTGGCTCAACAAGATTGAATCATAATTTGTCAATGTTTCACGATCACTTTTCATTTGATATTACATCCTAGCACTATGAATAACATTTATAAATTGCCCCGATGTAAATAAAATGAAA